AAGGAGCGGAAATCAAGGTCTGACTACCCTTAGTTCTGCGGTATGAGTGGTGACGCTCATGACTGAGTTACATTCTCGATTTTTTCTACCCATTCGTAACCAGTAAGCGTCCACAATCCGCTTTGTAAGAAATCAATCAGTTGAAGAAAATATGAAATAATCCCTTGCCAAGCGACAAACTTTACAATCGATTGCATTGGTGTTTGTAAAATGTAAGAAAGTTATTCAAAAATATATTAAGTCAGCTGCAACTTGTTTTTTTACCTTATGTATAATGTTAAGTTCGTTACTTCCTTAAATATAAAGTTAAGTTCTTTATTTTCTGAAATATATTGTTAAGTTCTTCAGTTTCTTACGAATAATGTTAAGTTCTTTCTTTTCTTAAATATAATGTTAAGTACACTACTTTTTTAATATATTCATGCTTCTAAAGGAGGTTACCTTATGAACTACTGCACTGCACCAGGACGATAGATACACAGAGAAATGTGTGAGACTTCGCCTAAATAGCCATGTACTATTGCCCATGTTGAGTGATCCTGACTCAATTTGGCCAAACAATATGGCGTGTAAGTGCTTGTGCTACTTCCGCTCAATAATCAAGCTGTTGGTAATAAAATGGGTCACAAAGAAAATGGACAATACAACTCATTACTGCATTGTTTCTGAGTGTATATTCATTTCTTAAACTAATTTTGTTTTTAATTTCTGATTGTAGGTGTCACGTGGAGAATCCGTAAAACGTAATGATGAAGTTCGCTCAGCCATTCATTATCGTGCATAATGCAACGTCTTGTGTACAGCCTCTTGTGTACAGCTGCTTGTGTGCAGCATCTTGTGTACAACCTCCTATGTTCAGCCTCATGTGTTCACACTCTTGTGTACAGCTTTTGGTGTATAGTCCCTTGTGTGCGACCTCCGATGTTCAGCCTCTTGTTCGCAGCCTCTTGTGTACAGCCTCTTGTGTACAGCCTCTTGTGTACAGCCTCTTGTGTACAGCCTCTTGTGTACAGCGTCTTGTGTACAGCGTCTTGTGTACAGCGTCTTGTGTACAGCGTCTTGTGTACAGCGTCTTGTGTACAGCGTCTTGTGTACAGCGTCTTGTGTACAGC